TAATCAAATTATTTGATAAATTTTATCCTAATTATTTGTCAATTTGCTATCTTTCGTCATATCTTTTTCTAAAATCAATCATATATTTAGCAAATATTATCTACAATCAACTTGAACTGATCCAAAAATTGCTTGATACTATTCAATACTTAGCTAAATTTAAGAATATATAAATTATATTCAGGAATATCATAGGCAAATTTAATTTTATTTTTGCTAATAATAATCAAATTTTGGTTGTTATTTATTGGAACTAATTTGCTGCTACTTATCATGGTTTGATATATTTTAGCAGATTTTAGCTCAACAAGTAAATCAATCGAATCATTTATTGATATTAATCTAAATTTATATTGACGCTATATTGATCAAAAATTTGATTGTAATACTACCCTACTGGATTAATAGTATCCAAAATTTCTTTCCGTGTATAAACGCTCAATTTAAGCTCTTTAAAGGGTTTATAGGAGTAACAGAAATATTTCGATAAATGGATATAAAACCTTAAGTTTTATAAAGAAGGTGATATAACATTTACGGTGAATATTATAAAAACAAAAATGTTTATTGGGTTAGATAGGGATTCAAAAAAAAAATTGGCATTCTCAGTGGTGGGGTGGGGCTAGCACAAAGGCCCAAAAGAGACAGAGAGATGTTTTCATAAGAAAATTTTGTTTATTGTTCGAATAGAAGATACTCTATTTGAAGCTAACTTTATTACTTTTTGTCAAGTTCCGTCGCTAGTTACCTTTCCCTACCTATATTATATCTACTAGTAGTCTGTTTTTTTTTTTAAAGATAATTCCCCAAGTCAAAAATTTAGTTAATTCCCCAAGTCAAAACTATGTTGGCAACACAAGCCTTTTCTGCATAAAAAAATTGAAAGCATTGACAATTTGACATTGCATTGCCAACATAATGTCATTTTGACTTTTATCTTAAAAAAAAAACTTACAAGAAGCTCTACTCCCCTCCCCAGAATGGTTGGTGCTATAGATCCGCCAGTGCAGGGTGGCCATATTTCTTGTGAAAAATCTGGATATAACTGCAGGGACGGGTAGTCGCCGGCAAGCCCGCCAAAGACGAGAATTTTTTGAGAGTTACGCCCATTTTTCGGGCCTACAACGGTATTCAATAACAATATTTAGTAAAAATATCAATATTTTTCCGCTAACAAATCCTTCCAACAAAAAATACATTTCTCATTTATTACAGTATTACACAAACATGGACCGAAAATTTTTGGTAGAAATCAGGCAATTTTTCAGGAAACCTAAATAATTTCCGAATCTCTGTATGTTAGCAGGTTTGCTGAACGAAATCAAATGCTAGACGAACTTTCAAAATTGCTGTAGAATGTACAATACTGCACGAATTTTATGATATTAAAAGAAGTTTCATATAGGATTAAGTTTATTCTACGTTTCATTTTGGGAAATTGAAAAGTGACAATTTTCAGGTTCGGTAACCTATTTTTTGCGAGGCCCCTAAGGGCGCGAGGCCGTCGGCGGTCGCCGACATCGCCGACGCCTAGCTACGCCACTGGTCGGAGCTTCAAAAATAACGGAAGAGAGACAAAAGTGCACACTCTGAGTGCACCGATCGTGAACCCAAACGCGCCCATTGGTAATGACGTCATCGAACGATAAACAAAACAATAAACAAACAAAAGTGTGGTTATGTTAACGTGAAACGTAAGCCGTCAGACGCGTGTGTACATCGAATTCTACCGATGAATCCACCATTGTATGTCGGTCATTATCATTTTCCATTCACTAAACAAGGATAGCTAACTCATTGGTGAAGCCACCGATTAAAATAAAAACGAGGGGAAACTGACAACAAAATAAACCACACATGTAAAGGCCCATCCTCAATCAATCAAGTAGCGAAGTGGCACTTCGGCACGCATGCTAGGACAATGTTGTTTACCGTTGGCATCCTCAATTCAATTACGTGCTAGCATGCACGCCGACTCTGAAGTAGTGTGTATCATCCTTGAATTAAAGTCGCTTTCCAGTACTTTAAGCACTCCTGAGCTGCTCGAGAGTGCCCCGAATTGTTTATAGGCTTTCTAGTGCATTAGAGTTTCGAGCACCTGAACTTCGTTTTTCCTCTCCCCTGCCCTCTCAAACACCTGCAATTTTATGGGTGCATCGAAAACACGACGCTTAAAGTTGGGTGCGTTATAGTGACACAACAGTTGTTTGGAGCACTAGAGTATGAAGCTACGGGCATGGAGCACCTTAAAATTCGTCACTGAAAAGCGACTCTGCCCTGTATTCCTTTTACCCGTTGAGTTACTTGGAGCGGCTCAATGTCAAAAGATTGAACGTTTCTTTTAAAAGTGCGTAAAGCAATCGACTCGCTTATAGTGCATCCCCCTTTCCCCTGATTCACCAAATTTGCCGGGGTGCAAGAAGCCCTTTTAGGTAATGTTAGTTAATATTGAAGAATAATGATAACATCCGAATTGTGTGTTGGAGTTACTCCCAGGAGCTCTAGAGCGACAGGTTCGGTGTAACTCAATGTATAAAAGGAATACAGTATTATGATGTATCCTCTCCTGTTATTTTCAGTTGTTTTATAGCTCAAAGTCTATACCTGTCTTTATTTTTACGTGTAGAATAAGTGACAGATAACTTAACGTTGCTGTTAAAATAACAGAAAATTATAAATCATAGGCCTGGGGGGCTTTAGTTGAAATTGATGCAACTTTGCGTACACGCAAATGACGTTATTCGTGATTGAAAATTGGTGCACGGCTTATTTGACATGCACTTTTTCATTCGTATCTGACGTCATTTTTGCGTGTGCGCCAAGTTGCATCAATTTCAAATAAACCCCCCCAGGGTGGCCGTAATTTTAACGCACCTAATTATAAAACATTGCGTCATGTGAAAACATAAAATAAGAAATATTTTGTAAAAATATAAAATATTCGCCCACCGTTATATACGCCACTGCCAACAGAGTTCTGATGCGAGGGGTAGGCAATGAATTGGGGTAGGCGGTTTCGCGAAAGTCCGGCTACTGGCTACTGCATATATTTACATTATATGTGTTCTTTGCTGCATGCAGAAATATTCACCTGCGAGACTTTTGCAGGAGACACGAGATTCTCGCACGAGACTCGAGACGAGACCAATAAAAGTCTCGTCTCGTCTTGTCCGAGACAGTCCGAGTCTCGTCTCGAGTCTCGTCTCGAAAACGAGACGAGACCATGCGAGACTCTCGAAAACGAGACTCTCGTGGGAATCACTACACCTGATCAAAAGTATGCCAGCAGATTCCCTGTTGATTTTCAGAACCAAACTGGTATTGTTTGTCAGAGATGAGCTTATCGGCTTCGAGGTATCTGACCAGTTTCAAGTTGACTGCCATTACTTCCGGATATGAGTGAGATGGGACGATAATTGCTAAGAAGAGTTTTCTTGCCCTTTTTCGGGATGGGCTGCACTCTGGCACATTTCCAGACGGGAAAACGCCTCGATACCTGTGGTGCTTTGCCAATAATGTTCTCTATCGTGGAATTGGATGCAAATTGTTTGGCAAAGCAATCTGCTTTTCCCTTTGACGATACTACAATGGAATTATTGTCCTAAACTAAATTTTTCCTATGGTCTATGCAAAAGACCAAAATAATCTTGATTTGCTTGGGCAGTCCAGAAGACGATTACGCACTTATTATTGTTGGTTGTGTAACTCCTTAGCCTCGTGGGTTATGGGGTTTTGAAAAAATTGAAATTTCGAAGCAAAATACGTTTTCGCCAGTTTCCAGTTTAAGTTATTTCTACGTTAAGTTTTCTTTGATATTAACTATTGATTCCTGATCAAGACCTTACCCACTCAGAGTAACTAATATATATCTTATTATAGCGAATTTATGTACTTTGGTGTACTAATTGCCACCCATGTTGTAATGTTTTTCCGTAGCTTGTTATTAGCTATAATTGTTGTTAAGTCCTGCAATTTTTGGGGAACCTGCTGTAAAAATGGTAGATTTTTCCTAGATTTTCGGATCCTTGTACTTTTTTTGTTGTTTCCGTAATAAGTAGAATAACCAGGTACTTTGACAGTATAGTTTTCCATGCACTATATATGAGAGGACTTGAACTTCTATCATTTCCGTATTAGCATTAGCCGATAGTAGTATCATTTCTTCAAGGCACAAGAAACCCTGAATAACTTCAACGCGTTTTACCGTACTCTCTATCTCCTACTAGGAGAGTTTTTGAATAGTTATTCGTACGTCATAAACTAGAAAAATTTTTACTAGCAGAAGATTGTGGTCCAGCTTTGAACTTCATTGACTTTGATAATCTTCAATATGCCTCCGGTTCAGTTTCGCAGACTCGCCCACTTCCTAATACATTTTATTGTATGAGATGTGAAATTACAAGGTTCAAATATGTTTAGCCAGCCCTCAACTATCACGTGTCCCCTTTCTTGGATTGTCCAAGAATATATCGGTGGCCTTCACCAAATTCCCCTGAGAATAGTTTGTTGTGTGTATGTCCTTTTTTATGATAATATTAAATTATATTTTAAAAAATAGGCAAGGTTGTCTATAGTATGTTAATCATTTTAGATTTAGCACGGTGGTTTTGTTATACGATCAAAGAACTTTTGAAACGCGCACATAAAAACATCGCGCGAACGAAATTATTATTCAAAATCAATGTAACTGTAATGTGGTTAATTTTTTATTCTGACGTTGCACAATGTGCACTTATTTATTGTAAGAAAGAAATTTTAAACTGTCTGCTATATATAAAAAACTCTTGTAATGGCAAAACCACAGCTCGAACCACAGATTTACTCAATATTTCAAGTCTATTTTATATAAATTAATTATTATTGCGTCAATGTGATTACACACATACATTAATGTTTACATTAAATAAATAGTTTTAATACAAAAATATTAAATGTAACATTGGTACAATAATAGTTAACAAATGTTAGAAATTTAGGTAAATAGAATAATATTTTTTTACCTGCCATATTATCGACATCTGCAATTTTATCGCAGCTTTTAACAGGCGAAGATAAATACATCTGTTGCATACTGTTTCTTTGCTTATTGCGTTCACCCATTTTATCCTGCCTGTTTCGGTGGCGCCTATGATGCTCATCCGCCTGAGATTCCATATTGATATTTTCTGTTTGAGAATCTTGTCTCTCAGTAGTATTTCTGAAAACCATAATAATGTTATTAATAACAAAAAAATAGTTTTAAATAAATGTATCGAAAAAGGCGGTAAATATAAATCTGAACTTGATATTTCTGTTTTTCATTTCATATTGGGCTGTACAGATATTGCTGCTCATAACCAAACCATCAAGCATTCTAGCAACGAGACGTTAACGAAAGCCATAGAAATCGAAGCCATCTATAAAATATCCAAACAAAAAGACAGAGCCGTCTCAATACAAGAAGAAGACGAATCAAAAGAAATTGCGGAGGACTCAATGAAGCAACTTTCTGGGAGAGACTAGGAAAGGCTGTTATCAGAATCAGACTAGGAAACTTGGAAACGAATTTCACTTCTGCGAAAGAAGTGGACATTTTAAATGGGAGCGTAGAGTATAGCTGAGATCTCACTCTCCTGGATGACTCTTAGCCTGCGATTGAGACGTTGCAACAGTTCGATTTCCTGAGCAAACATAGTTATGGTAAACTGCATAACAACGCAGATCAAGGCGCAATGGACTCAATGAGACTGACTGTTAGCCAAAAAAGGTTTACTGAAATGAAACTGGGAGAGTGCAGCTGGTAATATGGTCAAAACGCAATAATTGGTGATTGGTTCATAATGGAATATCCGGAGCTCACTTGGGAGTCAACTTCAAGACCTTGGACAAGATTTGTGACCGATTTTACCGGGTCAAAGTAATAGTTAACCCAACACATGGTGACGACAATGTGCGAAATGCGCAGTTAAGGTGCTTGAAAGCGATCTGAGGAACAAATGAAGCGGTGTAACGTAGACCATTGGAACGAATGGTAAAAGACATAGCTAGTTCATTGTCTGCAACGCGCACTGGCAACAAATGCATCCTGGTTGCCATGAATAATCTTTTATTATCACTTCTTGACCCGCTTGTTTCGATCAGGGTAATCCGTCGGTTTTCTTTATACCCACATTATAATTATCACTGGGATAAATTGGATGAATAAATAAAATGACAAATTGATAAATAAACTGAAAATATTCGATACGAGCCCTTTATTCTGGGAGTACCAATATCGTATTGGTCGTTTCTTGTTTAACGCTAATGAATAATCCCAGTGTGCGATAAACATAGCCTGCTACTCCAACCAACACCTGCCTGCCATTCAACAAGCCGCTTCTGGGCGGTGTTCTGCTACAATCTGCTGTTGCCAAATTGAGTTCAGAAATAAAATTGAAAACGTTAATTAGAAAAGGAGGAAAATATATTATTTAGGAACAAAATTTGGCATTCTCAGTGGTGGGGATAGCGGGATAGCACAAACACCCAAAAGAGACAGAGAGATGTTGTCATACAAAAATTTTGTTTATTGTTCCGTCTATCTGTGTTTTGATGTCATTGGGGATAACCATCAAATATAACCCTATTATGATTTCGAGTGGATCAGATACTTCTCACTCCTTGAAGCAAAGGTTTTGTTTGTGTCATTGACAGTTTTAAGGAGTAGGTACCCACCATCAGTACCTAATTGATAAAATGTTGAGGCATTTTTTGTTCTGTTTATTTTTAATTTTAAAAGTGAGGAGCAAACTGCTTATTTTGAGTAAGGTATCGTTTACATTAAATATCGTTTACAACTAAATATACAAGTTGAATATTGGTTGCACTCTTACTTGCACAATTGTATAAACTTTCCCTATTTGTGGAAATTGGTAGATCAGTTGCCCAGACTTGAGGGCAGTCGGAGCAGAACAAAAGTAACGGATGTTGTGAAAAGAAGTGCACCTTGTAAGGCAGGATGCTTCAAGATGGACCAAGAATTTAATGCACTCCAACGAGTAGCGGAGAAAAACCGGCTACGAACTGTTCAAGATAGAGAGACATGCAAGACACTGGAAGAGGCCTACATCCAGGAGTGGATGGACACGGGCTAGAGAAGAAGAAGAAGAAGAAGATTTGTGGTATTTTTGTGACAGGCTCTGTTTACTGACACTTCCCTTGAGTCAATTGAAGTTAGTGGGTTAGGGTTGATTACTTTTGTAAACTTTTTCGCCTTTTTATGGGATTCAAACCCTGATAGCCCCAAAATAAAATAGTGGTGTTTGCCCGCTTAGTCGCTTTGTGCCTTAATGTGCCTTGAGCATCACGATAGCTCTTACAGCACATACATCAACTGGATTATTCGTAGAAATTTATGTATGCAATTATTTGAACCATAATATTGAACAAAAATGTAAAACGGAAAAATTAATGCAAAATATGGAAAAATTATGTAATGCTCTGAAGAGAAGAAATCGCAAAATAAATTTCAAGAAAATAATAATGACGCGAACAAATTACCCCATGTACATAAAAATCTTCATGGACCTAGAAAACTATTCTTTATTGAAGACTCTTAAAGTCGGCTAAAGATATTTATTATAAGGGTGAAATCAGGAAGGAAGGCAATAAAACTAAAAAAAAAAAACTGGGAAATAATAAATAGGTTAATGGGAAAGCCAGACATGGTAAAAAATAATGTTAGAGTAGAACGTAATATTCTCAATAATTTCTACTGCACAATCACGGAAAAATTGACCTTATATTTGGACTCTAAAAAAGATCCTCTTGAATATCTGGCCAATATTCAGGTTAATGATAGGTTTTCTATTGACTTCACAAATGTGCATGAAGTTAAACAGGTATTTAAGGAAATAATAAATCTTCTGCAGGATATGATGGGATTTCTGTCAGAATACTGGAAAACTTGCCAGATTATGCCTTACAAACGCTTGTATATTCTATTAATTTTTCGTTTGCCACTGCTGGAGACTTCCCATCATGTTTAAAGCAGGGAGTGGTAATTCCACTATTTAAGGGTGGCGACTCCGATGATCCCTCTAATTTTAGACCTGTTTCTTTTCTGCCAACAATCTCAAAAGTAATTGAAAAACTTGTTAAGCGGAGAGTGGAGTTTCTGAATTGTCACAGACTGCTTAGTTCTGTTCAATTTGGCAGAAGTACTAATGATGCTATTTTTCCGTTGCTCGACGATATTTATCTAAATATAAATGGCGGTGAGACGGTCGCGACAATATTCTGTGATTTTTCGAAAGCTTTCGATTGCGTGGATCATGGAGTGTTGCTGCGAAAGCTTCTTCGTTATGGATTTGGTGATATTGCAGTGGAATGGTTTTCATCCTATCTTTCTGGAAGAAATCGAATCGTGAAAGTGGTCGAGGTATATTCTAACAACTCCTTTGCTGCAAGAGGTGTTCCACAGGGCTCAGTGCTGGGACCAATTTTGTTTTTGATATACCTAAACGATTTGGCTTTCTTAGATCTTCAAGGTTCTTTCACTCTATTTGCGGATGACACCAGTCTTGTGTGGCCAGATAAAAAAAACTTAGGACTAATCATTGATAGCGATTTGCAAAAGCTAAAGGTCTGGTGTGATACAAACCTACTTTGTTTCAATATGTCCAAAACAAACATTATGACCTTTGGTTTTGACCTTTCAAATTTGAACCTTGCTTATGTTGGACGATAAGCTAAAGTTTCACGAACATAATAATCAATTAGGTAGGTAATAGGTTTGCAGCTGGTTGCTTTGCAATAAGGGTTGTATGCAATAAGCTTAGCACTTTGGCGGCTAAATTGGTGTATTACTCCTTTTTCGAGTCTCATGTACGCTATGGTATTGCTTTTTGGGGATTCACAAACGCGCAGTTGCTGAATTATATATTCGTTTTTCAAAAAAGAGCAGTGCGGTATTTGTGTAGGGCTAAAAACCGTATACACTGTCAGCCTTTGTTTAAAAAAGAGGAAATATCAACTGTACCATCTTTGTTCATTCTAAAAGCTATCTGTCTCATACATACAAAATATTCTGGTCTAGAACCTGAGGAGGTAAGGTACGATACCAGAACACACACACACACTAATAACAACTTACGTTTACCAATTTCAAAGTCTGCCCTGACTAAACATTCTATATTCTTTGGAAGCATACTTTAATGACATCTTATTACGTTTCACTATGGACCGGCCCTTCGTGGCGTTTTATTGATTCCAACGCAGTGCGAGGAGGATAGAGCTAATTGTGGCACAACACAACGGAATGTGACGTGCTTGTTGTTTTTGACAAGCAAGTTGTCAACGTTTGTGTCAACGTTAATTTATTCCGGTCGGCTTTATTGCGTTTTTTTTTATTATCACTCCCGGATCTGACTTTTTTGTTATATTTGAGTGAAAGGCCAATGAAATATCAATTTGGTTCCTCCCTGTGCTGCATTTATTTGCAAAATAAGATGGCAGAATTTTTTTTTATTTTAAATATCTTTATTTCACAACAATTGATATAATATTTGTTTACAATAAATTCTCTAAACAGTGCCTATATAGCTCTGGCCTCGAGAATACTTAAAATTATATGTATATAAGTGTTGGACACTTAAAAATTTACTTAATTTTAACAATACCTATCCTATATTCCTAAAAATATTTTGATTTTTTTAACAAACAGTTGGAAATTATTTATATTTTTTATGTTCTCTGGAACCTTGTTATATGACTTGCTGGCTAGTAAAAAAGGGTTATTTAGTCCTTTATTTGTTCGTGTGTTTATTTGATAAATATTATTCTGATATCTAGTATTGTGACAATGTACATCATTATTCATTGCAAAGCTTATATTAGATTTCTGCGTTTTGTTTAATATTTTATAAATCAATTTGATTTGTTCAAACTCCAATACTACATCAAGTCTAGAAATATTTAATTCGCTATACAGTTTGTCTGTGCTAGTTAGTTCATCATAATTAAATAATATTTTCAAAATTTTGTTCTGAAGTATTTGAACTGTGTTGAAACTAGTTTTACAGCATGTTCCCCAGACTGGCAATAAATATCTAAGGTGAGAAAGGAAAAAGGCATTATAAATACTGGGTTTAGTTTTATCAGTGAGGTAATTTCTACATTTGTATATTATTGGTATCATTGGCATTATTTTTTTGCAGTTATATTCGATATGTTCTGACC